AATACTTAAAACATGAAGAAACGTCAAAATCAAAAATTTTATTTGTTAAGGACAAAAAAAGTCTACAGAAACCTAATGCAGACAAAAAACAAAAAGTTAAACGGCGTCCATTGCATGATTTTGATAATATTAATATTTATTGTTTATTTTTTTATTTGTATAATTTAGAGGAAAACATTATGGAATATATGGAAGTGGAGTTTCCGACGACTCCAAGCCCGGAAAGTCTTATATGGCTGGACGCTCCCATAATGATTAGAATGTTTTAGCGAACTAGGACAAACAGATATGGAACAAGTCAAGTTTAGGAGCCCCACTCGGATCATTTTGAAATGATTACCGTAAGTAGCCCTCCTTGTGCTGATTACAGTGATATACATTTCATGTGGGGAAATGCATACTTCCCGAGATATTGGCCTTGAAATTTCGGAACATATTTTGTTTAAAACAACCCTTTTCTATTGCCACCAAGGCAGTACATGGCTACGCAATAAAATATATATCACTGTAATCAGTTCACAGAGGACTATTTACTGTAAAAATGTCAAAGCGATCCAAGTGGAGCCCCTAAACTTGACTTAAGCCCAAGGTATTTGAATCTTCTGCCAGCCATTCATCTTCGCTATCCTCCAAAAGAGAAAAAAATCTGTTTGTCAATTTTTAAATTTCTTATTTGTTTTTTTTTTTAGCAAATGTGTGTGCGTCTGTGCGTGTGTCCCTTTTGTTGAAGCCCTAACTTTCATATGCGTTATTTCGGACTGTATATCTCTGGCAATCAAATGTCAAATTCATAATTTACTACATTTACGATTTCGTGCTAGGCCAAATTGGTTTTGTAGAAAATAGGAGAAGAGAACGCAATTTTGGTTTTAACTCTCTTAAATTTAACTTAAATTTTCCTACTTTTCGGTGTAAGGAAACGCTTTTCTAGCAAACATTGCAAAACTAGTACAATATAGTACTGCCATATTCAAACTAGTTACATTTATGTTTTCTTTATATATATATATCCCGTTCGTGTTTATACTGCATGTAAAAATACCTTTAAATTACACTTCCAGGCATATTCATTGTTGTTTAATCCTCATCGACATTCTCGTCATAGAATGAGTTTTGCGCTGTGAAATATATAAAGTGTTGGATAAGAATTAGGCGTTGTCAATTCCCTTTCCGATTAGTCTAAAACGGGCTTTAAGATTACCAAAAGCATTTTCAACAACTCTGCGGGATTTTGACAATGCGTAATTAAAACATCTTTGTTCTGGGTACGGCTTCATTAATATATTGCTTGCTTTAGAGAAGATCCTTCAAAAATTTGAGAATCATTGCAACGCCCTGGACTTCCAAAATTTACATAAATAAAATGACATCTAAAATACTTCATTAATATATTATATGCAAATTAGAAATGTGTCGTTACCTTGCGTCCACTAATGCAAGTAGAATAACTGAGTACCATCCTTTGTAGTTATAAAATTGAGCAGACTGTACTTTTTCCAACGCTAAACATGTTAGCAATTGTCTTATACTCTGCAGAGGACCCTAACGTATATAACGCTATTACAACTCTTTTTTTGTAATGGTATAGTTACGCCCCTTTTTCTTATAACATTTGGGCAGACCGTTTAATAATCGGTTAAACACCACTCTGCTCATTCTAAAGTTATTTTTGTTTGACATGTTGTTGACAGTTATATACCTTCAGTGTATGACGTATGTAGTATATATTTATTTTGAATTTTGTACGCTATTTTAGGATGTGTATAGGCAAAAATTGAGGCAATTTCTTTTCCCATACACTATTATTTATTTTAAAATGAATTTTGCATTTATGTTTTCGTTTTTAAAAGGGAATAAACACCCGATTTAAAGTGTTAAACCAACACGGTATGTTTGATTTAAAAAAAAAATATGGGGTTGCTTTAATTTTGGCCACCGGATAGCTACATTTGTGATGTTTAGAGCGCATACGATTCACAATTCGCCTTATATTAGATCTATGTTCAAAAAAAAGGTTTGACATCTGTGACGAGATAGCACAAGAATCTGCACTATACAACCAATCTTCGATTTTAAATAAATATTGTGAAATTAATGGATCAAATCTGATATTAAATTAGTTTCATATGTAATTGACAAATTTTTAAAATGTTAAACCTTTTTGGGGGAGGTTCCCCAAGGAGTAAATGAGTGAGTATTATCTTCGGGCTTGGAGATTAATTGTGCGCACCAGTCAGACATTGTAAATCGACTACGACCAAATAAATAAAATAATTGTTAAAACTCCAAGTTGAACAGCTAATCATTTTGAGTTTCATTACTGCTTTCTTTTAATTATAAAATACAAGAGCTTTATTGAATCAAACAGGATGCTTAGAAACTTCGAGAAAGACTAAAAGTTACGTTTAGGATCCAAACAACTTCCTTTTCTGCTTCTGATAGGGTTATAAACTCAGCCTCTGTTGTTGACAATGACAGCACCGCCATTTAGCAGAAAGATATAACCGGAGTTCGATTTTCGATCGATTCTGCACTCCGTCCAATTTGCATCTGCGTGACCAACCAGCTGATTTTCATTAGTGGAACAAATTTAAAAACATTCAAATTAAAAAAAAAATATACTTATGTACCTTTATGGTATTTTGCAATGCGCTTCAGCTCATTCCAGTCTTCATTGTTTGGACAGCTCGAGTTTCTTGCCAATGTCGCAACGCTTGCAGATATATTGGGTCGGGTAATAATAAACTTTCACTCTTACCATATGAGGGTACTTCGAACATTTCGCCTTCTTCAGTCCACATTTTATTAATATTTCATCAATGTATTGTTTTTGTCAGATTTTGTAGTTAAAGTCTTTGGTCGTTAAAATTTCCAGACCAAGGAAATGCGATATCGCGCCGAGAAACTTTTGCCAAATTTGCTACAAACGTTTTCTATATGTTGCTTATTCGTAGAAGCGACCACCAAATCATCAACATATACTAAAATATAAACAGCTTCTAGGTAGCCTTTACTTTGAATGAAACCGCTATCAGTCAATACATCATTTAGGGCCTTATTCCATACGTTTACAGACTGTTTAAGACCGTATATGCTACGCTTAAACTTGCATACTAGGTTACTTTCATCTTCAATGAAACCAGGTTGTTGTTTCATATACACTTGTTCAACAAACATCTTCTTAACAGCAGCAACAGATAACAAAAAACGAAAAGTAGGTTGGCGCACGACAGGCGCAAAGATTTCGTCATAGTCACACCCATACTTTTGGTAAAGCGACTAAACGAGCTTTAATCTTTGAATTTGGTTATCATCACCACGCTTTATTTTATATGTCCATTTTCAACTACCTATATTGGCATCAGGTGGCGGGCGTGCCAAATCCCACGTATTATTAGCCATAAGGGAATTTATCTCATCCACCATTGCGCACTGACATTTAAGTTTTGATCAGACATTATAGCCTGTTTTGGGTTCGATGATATTCTCCGATTCCACCAAATTTAAGTATGTAGCGGGAGGAACACCTTTGTTAAAATTACTTATATCAGGCTTCTTACCCTCGTAGGGCGTACATGGTTTAGAACTGATAACTGGTTGATGAAATGGTTGGCAACGTCATTTTTTTAAAGCTCTGCAATAGCAATTAAAAAAACAAAAACAAAAAACAGCAGTTAAAACATTGTTGTGACTTTAAAGTGGCAAATATATAACATACAAATATCAATAAAGGGGATGTTAAGTCCGCACTATAGGGACTTGGGTGGTTGGCAGGTACAGTGCAACAGATTCTCCAATTGAGTCAGTACGCCCAATACGTACTCGTGAGCAAATATAGAAATAGAAAATAAAATACGATAGTTTTATTAAAAGGTTTCGACCAATGCCGATATTTATTTGTGGTAAACGATATTACCTGTGATGTACAACAATATGTACGATGGCTTACAATTTAAGCGCTGGTGATCACCAATAATATGTGTGGCCAGTAGGTTACAACGAGAGTCTATCAAGTACTACAATGCTTGTTGACATAAAGATGCCTTAAGGTGGCGCAAACTCAAAATGTAAACAAAAGTCCGTTGAAATCTGTCAGCCTCATACTATTACAAGGGTGTAATAAAAGGGAGTAGACAGATTTCAACGGCTACGGCCTTTCAAATTAAAGGCTAACTATTTAACTATTTTAAACAGCGATTCTTGCTTAAACATTTGCCGCCTCCCTTGAAACATCCATATGTTTTAACAAATACAATAAATTATAAATAAAAGCATAGTGCATGGTGAGCAAAACCTTTTACATTTTTTTCAAATATTTTTTCCATTTTTTTACTTTTTTCAAATAACAAGCTTACATGCTAACGATAGGGCCATTAGGGACCCCGCGATTATATAGATCATCAATGACCTGTTGTACGAATGGGCCATTAGGGACCCCGCGGTTGTATGAGGCCAGAAAGGACCTGTGGTACGAAAGGGCCATTAGGGACCCCGCGAAGCGATAGAGCCATGAAGGACCCCGCGAAACGAAAGAGTCATTAGGGACCCCGCGAAACGAACGGGCCATTAGGGACCCCGCGATATGTGAGCCAAATTGTGTTATGTTTGTTGAGGGCCGCCTTACAACGATTTCGTACGATTTACGAAAACAATTATCCAGCCAAATTATTATCCAGCCCAGTAATTATCCAGCCAAATTTAGTATTTTGAGCGAGCAGCGATCCAGACGAAAGTCGAAAACTATGATTTTTTACGATTTGTGGATATAAGTCTGCTCCTATCAAAATATCTACTGGACGAGATTCAAGGAAATCGGGATCTGCCAAAACTATATATGACAAATCCGATTTAAGATCCGAAGTAATCGAAATGGTTGGAAGATTTCCCGATATGGAATCTACTACCAATGCTGACGTTTCCAAACTGTGAGACCTATTACGACAACTACCCAGTTTAAATGAACATATTTTTCGACAAGTTGTGGCAACAGTACTATTTACTCCACGAATTGTCGAAATTGTGGGTTTAACCGGCAATTTCAATTTCTTCTGAAGCCGTTCAGAAATGAAAGACGACTCAGAAGCCGGATCTATTAACGCCCGAGCAGGAAAACAAGCACCATGGTGAACAATATTGACCATGGCTGTCCCCAATAGAACTGCTTTGTTCTGCGTGGCGTGAAAGGTCTGTCGAATAGCAGTGACTGCCGATGTGGATGGATCAATCACAGTGGAAGAGGGCAAATGACTATTAACATTTAAATTGCGTGGACGAAAAGTTGGTGCCGAAGATGACAAATTGGAATTTGTGGGAGTCACCATCTGACTCGGAGTGCTCACTATAGAGCTATCTCTGTGCAATAGAGTGTGATGTCTCTGATTGCACTTTCTACAACAACGGCTATTACAATTTTTGACTTCGTGTCCCCTACGAAGACAATTTACACACAAACGATGCCTCTTGACTAATTTAAATCTATCGGCAGGTGTACAATTTAAAAACCGATAGCAATAATATAGTGTATGTTGCTCTGAACAAAGAACGCAACAAGAATCAGACGACGAACGAGGAGTAGAAGTTGCACATGGAGATGAAAAGGAACTTTTTCTTTTCTTCGATTTTGACACAGTGTTAACATTTCTCATTTCATGCAAACACAGAAGAGTACGAATTCTCTCTGTCAAGAATGCATCTAACTCTTTCCAAGATGAAAGAGACGATTTGGATTTTACACTTTGCTCCCATAAAGCGTGTGTCAATTTGGGTAATTTTTGCAAACAAATAAATACCACAATCGGATCCCAATTTTCCGTTGGTATGTTATAAATTGCCATTGCGGAAAGACAACTATTAATTCCGCGTTGAAGTGACTTTAGTCCCGAACTACTTTCCTGATCCAGCACAGGAAGTGCGAATAAAGATTTTAAATGGCTATGTACAATAAGACGTGGATTATCATAAGTGGAATTCAAGGCATTCCACGCAGGTTCAAAACTCCGATGAGTCAAAGGAAATTTCGAGACGATTTCTCGAGCCTCACCACTACTTTTACTCACCAGATGACATAAACGCTCAATGTCTGTCAATCGGGAGTTATTAATATATACCGCACTAAACAAATCTCTGAAAGTGGGCCAATCAAGAATATTTCCACTGAAAATATCGATATTGCAAGGAGGAATCGCAAGGTTATGAAAGTTATCGACATTAGAAGAATAAACAATAAAGCTTTGACCTATTCTAGTATTCCCAATATTCAATATTTCGGAACTAGATGTCTGTATTCCCACCCCGCGAGAGGAGTGGGACGACGAGCTCATGTTATGAAGGGAGACATCAACTGACGGCTTTCCCGAAAGAATATTAGCAGGATGCTCCGCTACTGATAATTTATTTGAATTCCTAAATTTAGACAACAGTCTATTTATAATTGATACGCAAAGCATGTATTCCTTATACGAAACCTCATATTTACTATATACACTATCAAGATCTTCAGGATTTCGAATGTGGGAGAGACAATTATTAAAAGTTTCCTCGACAGATTTCCACAATTTTTTAATTTCTTCACTCCTAACTTCAAGATCATAAATATCTAATTCGTCTTCCTTCAATGCACCGAAGTGTGCAGCGAATCTCACCATAGAGTTGGAAGTACGATTGAATAAATTCAACGAAGTGGACGCCATTTTATAAATTTAACCAAATATATAAAATAATTTGAAGTTCAAGACAGCGAGAATATTATACAAAAGAAATGTCTAAATCAAATCAAAAATCTATACGAAAACGATAAAAACTCTCAAAAAGTTAAATAATAATTCAAAAAATATTTCAAAATTAACAAATTTGTTAAAAATTGACGACTCTTAAACCAAAAAGCTAATTAGATGATATAAATTCGAATAAAATATATCTAGATATCACTAAATCTCAAGGGAATTGCTTTAAGTTTTAAATTCAATTGTGAAAATACACAAAAATTGAGGATAACTTTGGAGAAAATCCACAAAAAAACAAAAATAAACTATCAATTATAGTTGACAATCAACAAAATAACTACCAATTGTAGCGTATAATCAAACAAAGAAGCTACCGAATGTAGCGTTTTAAGATTATCAATCACAATAAAGATCTAATAAATATTAAAAATCCTCAAAATTTAATAATATGCAACTATATGCACAATGAACACCCTACACAATACAAAGTTTCGAACGTCCGAACGATTGTAGGGCACTTTTAAAATTCGCAATAAATATTAAAAATTAAATGACAATAAAACTCAAATAAATATTTTAATTCAACAAATTAAAAATAAGCAACGATATGCTAATATGCACCTTACACAATACAAAAGACCAAACGACCGAATTTAGGGCATAAAAATCAATAGATTTTAATTTGCAACAAGAATAACAATAAAACACAAACAAATGTTTTAAATTCAATAAATTAAAGA